TCACCAGTTGCTGTGTAGACATCAGATACAGGGGTAGATACTTTACTTGTTGTCTGTATCTCCTGTATTGCCTGATCTCCTAATTCAGAATGACAGATCACTATCTTACCTTTCACCACCAGACCTTCCTGCAGCCTCCGTGTGATGTGTAGACAGGGAAGATACAGGACAGGGAGGGGAGAGCAGGGTTCACATGCTGTACCCTGTGCCTGTTTACTTGATCCCTTAACTCCAACTGACATGATTAGAAGAATCCTTTGCAAGGCCCCTCCATGTCCCCATCTCATCCTGTTGAGTCAGACTCAGTTCCTGTGAGATCTGCTTTGTATCTGAGTCATGAGCTCGGAGCCTGACCTCCTTCAACCCCTGCAACCCTGTTACTATCCATTCTTCTCCCTTCCCCCCCCCCCCCCAAACCCATACGCCAGGAGCAGCAGAGCGGTCAGGGTAGAGAGGGACGGGAGACGAGGAGAGGGAAGAGGAAGAGGAGAGAGAAGCGAGGCGCAGATGAGCGAGAGAGAGAGAGAGAGAGAGGGGACGAGAGAGAGAAGAGCGAGAGGTGAGACGAGAGAGAGGTCGCGAATGGCGAGTTCTCTGCTCTCTCTTATGTCGACATTTCTCTTCGCTATCTCTCTCTCTATATCTCTCGTTCTTCTTCTCATATCTATCTATCTCTCTCTTTCTATCTCTATCTCTCTCTCTCTTCTCTCTCTCTTCTTCTTCTCCTCTCTCTCTCTCTCTCTCTGTCTTCCTCTCTGTCTCTCTCAGTGTCAGTCTCTCAGTGTCAGTCTCTCTCTCTCTCTCTCTCTCTCTGTCTCTCTGTCTCTTTCTTTCTCTCTCTCTCGCTCTCTCTCTCTCGCTCTCTCTCTTCCCATCCCCATCCCCATCCCTTCTACAATCACTGATGCTGCTGTTCGTTCTTTCTCCACACTCTACACCAAATTACTGTTAGTCCCCTGAAACCTTACCTGCCCACACAGAATTAATGTTATGATGTGATAAAACATTGTCAATTTGCTGGAAGAATGGAGTGGGTCAGAATTCAATCTCAGAAAAAGACAATGGCCGTGGGAGAGCACAAGGGGATAATGCACTCAGAGGCAACGATCACTGTAGTGGAAGTTATCTTTTCTCTTTCTGGAGATGTGATTGGTCTTGACAAAGGCTGCATCCCAAATAGAACCCTATTCCTTACATAGTGCACTATTTTTGTCCTGGTCGAATGTAGTGCACTATATAGGGAATAGGGCGCTATTTGCTACACATCCAAAGGGCGATGCAGAGTTTGGTCTCATCAACACCAAGAGTTTGCTGCTCTTGCCTCTCTCACAAACTCCTTCTATTCTCTCAACTACTGTTCGGTTCAGTTGATTCTCTCAACTACTTTTCGGTTCAGTTTATTCTCTCAACTACTGTTCGGTTCAGTTTATTCTCTTAACTACTGTTCGGTTCAGTTGATTCTCTCAACTACTGTTCGGTTCAGTTGATTCTCTCAACTACTGTTCGGTTCAGTTTATTCTCTCAACTACTGTTCGGTTCAGTTGATTCTCACAACTACTGTTCGGTTCAGTTGATTCTCTCAAATACGGTTCAGTTGATTCTCTCAAATACTGTTCGGTTTAGTTTATTCCCTCAACTACTGTTCGGTTCAGTTGATTCTCTCAACTACTGTTCGGTTTAGTTGATTCTCTCAACTACTGTTCGGTTCAGTTGATTCTCTCAACTACTGTTCGGTTCAGTTGATTCTCTCAACTAGTGTTCGGTTCAGTTGATTCTCTCAACTACTGTTCGGTTCAGTTGATTCTCTCAACTACTGTTCGGATCAGTTTATTCTCTCAACTAGTGTTCGGTTCAGTTGATTCTCTCAACTACTGTTCGGTTCAGTTTATTCTCTCAACTACTGTTCGGTTCAGTTGATTCTCACAACTACTGTTCGGTTCAGTTGATTCTCTCAAATAATGTTCGGTTCAGTTTATTCTCTCAACTACTGTTCGGTTCAGTTTATTCTCTCAACTACTGTTCGGTTCAGTTGATTCTCTCAACTACTGTTCGGTTAAGTTGATTCTCTCAACTACTGTTCGGTTCAGTTTATTCTCTCAACTACTGTTCGGTTCAGTTGATTCTCACAACTACTGTTCGGTTCAGTTGATTCTCTCAAATACGGTTCAGTTGATTCTCTCAACTACTGTTCGGTTCAGTTGATTCTCTCAACTACTGTTCGGTTCAGTTGATTCTCACAACTACTGTTCGGTTCAGTTGATTCTCTCAAATACGGTTCAGTTGATTCTCTCAAATACTGTTCGGTTCAGTTGATTCTCTCAACTACTGTTCGGTTCAGTTTATTCTCTCAACTACTGTTCGGATCAGTTTATTCTCTCTATCTGTTTCTCACAGTTTCTGTTTTTCAGTTTCTATTAATCCACCCACAAGCCACACTGCTTTTGAAGTCTACAGAAATTTGGTTAAACTCAAAGCAATTAAGGAGATTATGGTTGTTATCAATCTCATTTACATGTTTGTCTACCAGTAATGAGAGGATGAGAGTGATGACAGCCTTCATCGTCATTACCCTAACTCTTAGTTTAGCCATTGTCAAAGCCTTCACCGTCATTACCCTGACTCTTAGTGTAGCCATTGTCAAAGCCTTCACCGTCATTACCCTGACTCTTAGTGCAGCCATTGTCAAAGCCTTCACCGTCATTACCCTGACTCTTAGTGTAGCCATTGTCAAAGCCTTCACTGCTATTGGAATAGTGTTCAGTATGTGTGCACCTATTTTGACACCTAAATATGTTGTTTCTTTGATTCTTGAAATGTCCATGTTGATTGCTGATTTGTTGTTAGCTTATTGTTACCTGGTAATTAGTCAACTTGTTTAAATGGGGATGGGATGTGTTATATATATATACTTTGTTTTGTACTCTAAACCATAAACTGTGTGCAAAAGGATGAATGTTTTTCACAAACGATATATTCTGGGAATTTATAACTAGCTAAAAAGTCTGCCAAAAAGAAAGCAAGAAAATAAAAAAATGTGTTTTGGAAATCATTTTGGTAAGAGTTATGTTATGAAAATGTTTAAATTTGTGATTTGGTTTTGGTTTATACAGTAACATAACTTTATTAACCTAGTTGAAACTTCAGCGTGCTAATTCTCAATTAATATAGGAATAATTGGTTGGCTTATATTAAAATAAAATGATTTGAGTAAGTGAAGTTGGGTCGATGAAATGTTGTAGGTAACTTTGTGTTTATTTTAAACGTCTAAAACGTATTAAAAACTGTGTGGCAGTTGTTATAGCTCAAGAATTAAGTATTAACATTTAACCTTTGACTTTACAGACTTTAACCACTGAAATGTCTCTTTAAACTTTAAAGGCAACAATGATAACGAACGCCTGGCGATTGCTAGACAGCGAATCCCATATCGACTTGGTCGAGTAGTTGATGAATGGCTACTCGACAAAGGTAAAAACATTGATTAAAACTTCAAATAAAAATAATTTGATTATAACCCAGTAATACATTTTATAACCAATAAACCTTAAAAAATAAATGTTCAGTAAAACTTAAATAAAACGAAATAATTTAAAAACAGTTAAATGTAGCTAGCTAGTAACATTGCACACTTTTGCATATAATAATGTATTCTTATTTTTAGAGATGTCAGCTTCAGGTTAAAGGGACTGTAAACATAAATCTAACTATTTCCTGAAGTAATATCAACACTGTTAAAATGTATATAAATTATTATAGCATTGTTGTCATTTGATACCTAAATGAACTAAAAAAGGTCCAGTTAAATTATCCATTCAGTTGATATTTGTAGTGTTGTATTTTATACACATATATACATGTATGTGCTTGTTTTATAATGGATCATACTGATTAAACTTCTAGAAATGTTAAATTATAAATAGAGTGCAATATTAATTGGCATAAAGAAATTGAGTCCCTTTAACGGATATTGTAAATATGTATAGGGAATGAAGATCAAGGCAATGTATCATAAAACTCAAATGTTTGAGTGCATGCCTTTTTGTATGTTTCTAGAAACCAAGTTGTATCTCCCACCATGATTATTTTTCATTGTGGTGTGTTCTGTTTCAGTTTTTATGTTATTTTACTGTCACCAATGACACTTTTGTTGTGTGCCTCATTTTTCAAACCTCAGTGTACATTTTAAGTTGCATTCACTTCTTGCTAAAAGGCGGTCTTGGGATGATGATAAAAGTAAGATGAATCATTTTAACTTTGGCAAAACTTTAGAAATGTATGTTAAATATCGTAATGAAACTCTAAACTTCTATACATTCTATAACTTTGAATGATTTTTTAAATTCTCATAATGAAACTTAAAACTCCTATATAAACATTAAAACTGTTAAAGTGGTAAGTGTTTTCAAATAAATTCAAGTGTCAAGCTATTCAAAGAGGATAATTGGAGCCTATAAGATGACACATCTGTCAACTCTATTTTCTCCACAGGCAATTTCCCACATACAAACTGTCCCTTTTAAAATTCCTTCACATATAAAAACTCACACTTCTAAGATCTTCCTATTATTTCAAGGAATAAATCAATTGCAGTTTAGCCCATTGCTGTCAAGTAATACAAGATTTACACACCTATCAAGATTAATGTCCTTCCTGCAGTTAAATTGACTTGATTGTCCTTTTAGCAAAGCTGCAGTACATTTATTTACAACAACGTTTTGCTTTTTTCTTTCTCCCTTTGAGTCTGCGTGGTTCCATCCATCATTCTACCGCAATAAATTACCATGAGAGGCTTGCCTCTAGCAACGAGTAATTTATCGCAACTCATTAGCCGACTGGGCAAATAATCTGTGTTTCTTATGCGCAATTATTTTTCATCACACTTTTCTTTTTTATTTCTGTTGTGACTCAAAGTACGAGTAGGGAGTTAGCGGTGGCAGAGTCCGTCCGCGTTCCATCCAACATACATTCTTGTATATATGTAACGTTGTTTTCCCGCAGGTCGGCAGCTCACTATCTTCAACAGCCAGACCACCATACAGATAGGTGGCTGGGACCGGGACAGGAGTCGCTCGTTTCAGGGCCAGCTCTCAGGCCTCTACTATAACGGACTGAAGGTGTTCAACATGGCCACGGAAGGAGATCCTAACATCCGCGTCCAGGGGAGCGTGAGACTAGTGGGAGAATCGCCGTCATCCATCACGCCACAGTCCAGTGCCAACACGGGCAACCGGTCGGAGACATCTACCTCCATTATGGAGATCACCACGACGACGGCGTCCAGTAGGAGGGTGAAGCAGACGACGCCACGGGAACCTCAGCAGGTAGGAGAACTCAGAACTTAAGATAAGATATACTTTAGTATTATTATTCATTAGAAATTTGTCTTCTGCAATATACTTATACACACAAAACACATTGGGTTGGAGAGGCTGGGCTGGAGCAGAAGGCTGCCGCAGTGCAGGGCCCAACCCTACTGGTCTTCTTATTCTCTGTACAGTCAGGTCCAACATTTTTCATCTTTATCAAGGGTGCCAATAATTAAGAACTGACGTTATCTGTTCTTGTTCTGTGTCTTATCCTGGTCTGAGATCTCTCTGTGAGCCTGGTCTGAGATCTGTCTGTGAGCCTGGTCTGAGATCTGTTTGTGCTGTATATCCTGGTCTGTGAACCTGGTCTGAGGTCTGTCTGTGAGCCTGGTCTGAGATCTGTCTGTGCTGTATATACTGGTCTGTGAGCCTGGTCTGAGATCTGTCTGTGAGCCTGGTATGAGATCTGTTTGTGATGTATATCCTGGTTTGTGAGCCTGGTCTGAGATCTGTCTGTGTTGTATAGACAACTCCTATGTTTGTTCACATGACAAAGACCAAGAAAAGCACAAACAGATTTGACTCTTGTGGATATGTGTTTTCCTTTTTTCAGTAATAAAAATGTCTCATCATGACCTCAAGCCATTTGAAAAGTCTATGCATGTACACTATATGTACAAAAGTATGTGGACACCCCTTCAAATTAGTGGATTTGGCTCTTTCAGCCACACCCATTGCTGACAGGTGTATAAAATCGAGCACACAGCCATGCAATCTCCATAGACAAACACTGGCAGTAGAATGGCCTTACTGAAGAGCTCAGTGACTTTAAACGTGGCACCATCATAGGATGCCACCTTTCCAACAAGTCAGTTCGTCAAATTTCTGCCCTGCTAGAGCATCCCTGGTCAACTGTAAGTGCTGTTATTGTGAAGTGAAATGTCTAGGAGAAACAACGGATCAGCCGCGAAGTGGTAAGCCACACAAGGTCACAGAACAGGACCGCAGAGTGCTGAAGCATGTAAAAATAGTCTGACCTGGGTTGCAACACTCACTACCGAGTTCCAAACTGCCTCTGTAAGCAACGTCAGCAGAAGAACTGTTCGTCGGGAGCTTCATGAAATGGGTTTCCATGGCCGAGCAGCCGCACACAAGCCTAATGCCTTGATCACACCTACAGTGTCATTCCGCAAAATGGTACACAGCATCATCTGGATATGTGTGCAACAAAAGTTCAACATTCACCTTCTGTTACCATTTCTGTCTAGCCGTCTACGCATACAGTTTGACGCAAATGTTCGATAAATCCAACATATGCACCACACAGAACACACTCCAATTGCCTCTGCAACTCAATGCTGCAAGGCAAATGCAGCGTTCCATTGGAAATTCATGTTTTTCTGGTGAACCAAAATGCAATGATGCTTTCGGTGTGATCGAGGTGTAAGATCACCATACGCAATATCAAGTGTCGGCTGGAGTGGTGTAAAGCTCACCGCTATTGGACTCTGGAGCAGTGGAAACGCGTTCTCTGTTGATGAATCATGCTTCACCATCTGGCAGTCCGACAGACTAATCTGGGTTTGGGGAATGCCAGGAAAACACTACCTGCCCCAATGCATAGTGCCAACTGTAAAGTTTGGTGGAGGAGGAATAATGGTCTGGGACTGTTGTTCATGGTTCGGTCTAGGCCCCTTAGTTCCAGTGAAGGGAAATCTTAACGCTAAAGCATACAATGACATTCTAGACGATTCGGTGCTTCCAACTTTGTGGCAACAGTTTGGAGAAGACTCTTTCCTGTTTCAGTATGACAATGCCCCTGTGCACAAAGCGAGGTCCATACAGAAATGGTTTGTCGAGATCGGTGTGGAAGAACATGACTGGCCTGCACAGGTGTGGAACAACTTGACTGGCCTGCACAGAACCCTGACCTCAACTCCATCGAACACCTTTGGGATGAATTGGAATGCCGACTGCAAGCCAGACCTAATCACCCAACATCAGTGCCCAATCTCACTAATGCTCTTGTCGCTGAATGGAAGCAAGTTCCCGCAGCAATGTTCCAACATCTAGTGAAAAGCCTTCCCAGAAGAGTGGAGGCTGTTATGGCAGCAAAGGGGGGACCAACTCCATATTAATGCCCATGATTTTGGAATGGGATGTTCGACAAGCAGGTGTCCACATACGTTTGGTCATGTAGTGTATTTGACATACAGTGCATTACATGCAACCCAAGAACACAATACGGATGTTGTCATAACTGTCCTAATATTATGGGTTTTCTGGTGTTAGCTGTTCTATTTCCAATGATGCATCTGACCTCAATACCCAAGGGTGAATCATGTCTCCCCACCACCAGCCTAACGTAACATCACTGTTCATGCCAATGTCTGCTATGTCACTGCTAGGCATATGCTGCAATCAAATGTGACATATTACATCTAGATACATGACAGATAATACACTGCAAAAGAGGGTAGGCCTATTAATATACTCTCCATCTGGAGACACAGAGATTTAAAGTATGGTATATAATACAGTCATATTCATTTTTGTGTAAATGAACACATGCAGGGACATTTTTATTATCCAATGTAAGAATGGTTGAAAATGATTAGTCCTGATTTTTATGTATGTTTGTTTCTTATCATCTAAAGAAGTTGTATTTTAATAGGGAAGCTTATTGCTTCTGATTGACTCTAACAATTCTGTTGGAAGCTGGATTTTGTGCAGACATGGCCAGGAATCATTTCGGTCACTACGTATAAGGAAGGACAGGGGTGACTGGCTCCTACGTCTCTAAAGTTCCTTTTGTGTGTGTCTGGCCAAGGAGAGACACCACTATGTGGCCTCCTTAAGTGTTGTTGTAGTGACGAAATACACATGATGCTGCATAGGGCACAGCCCAGGGGGCGTTTTCTATCTCCATGCTGCATAGGGCACAGCCCAGGGGGCGTTTTCTATCTCCATGCTGCATAGGGCACAGCCCAGGGGGCGTTTTCTATCTCCATGCTGCATAGGGCACAGCCCAGGGGGCGTTTTCCATCTCCATGATCATAGGGCACAGCCCAGGGGGCGTTTTCTATCTCCATGATCATAGGGCACAGCCCAGGGGGCGTTTTCTATCTCCATGATCATAGGGCACACCCCAGGGGGCGTTTTCTATCTCCATGATCATAGGGCACACCCCAGGGGGCGTTTTCTATCTCCATGATCATAGGGCACAGCCCAGGGGGCGTTTTCTATCTCCATGATCATAGGGCACAGCCCAGGGGGCGTTTTCTATCTCCATGCTGCATAGGGCACACCCCAGGGGGCGTTTTCTATCTCCATGATCATAGGGCACAGCCCAGGGGGCGTTTTCTATCTCCATGCTGCATAGGGCACAGCCCAGGGGGCGTTTTCTGCCTCCATGCTCAAGAGAACAAATAAAAGATAAATAAAAAAGAGGAGAGGCCAATGAAAACCAAGGCAGTTGTGGTTTAAGTTGTTGTGCAATTCTGAGGCTATGAAGTGATTGCTTGTCTTGGGACAAAATAAAATGATTTTGGTGGAGCAGTGAACATTGAATCGCTTTCATGCCAAATTGATGGACCAGGGCATAGGCTTAGAGTTCACCCCTTGGGTATATCTGCACTGTGCTTGAAGGAGGTCTGTGGCTAATGCTTGATCAGCCACAGACCAAAGAATCAAGTCAGAGGAAGTGGTCTGCCTCACAAACTGTCTGGCTGACATTCACAGACATAATAACAAGAGAATGGGCGGTCATTTAATTCACATCACAACCATTCAGGATTTGTTTATTCACTCATCAATTACCCAGAAGTTGTGTGTGGTAATGTGTTGCACAACTAGTGGTGAGTTTGTGTAATAGCAGGAAGAAAATGTGTTGATAGTTGAGGTTGCTTCAAACGCTGGAGATTAGAAGGAGGTTGTTTTTCTAGGGAAACATTTATAAAATATATACATATACGGTTTCTTTCTTTAGGTGTTTCTAAAAGTATTCCGAATAATACAGTGTATTCTGACACTTAAATAATTATCCAAAATGACGTCCTTACTGTCAAAAGAGGAATGGTAATGCAGTATTTACTTACCGTGTTCACGGTGGGTTGATACTCAGCTGTTGGGGCTGCTTTCATATTAGATATTTTACTGCTGACATATTCAAAGCAGTGTGTTGGCATAACTAATTAAGAATATAACAAAACATCCCCTTTGATAAACAAGCAAGTGCAAAACTGTGCAGTCAAAACAAATCTAGGAATGATGAACATTGTAAACAGGGCCAAGTAGTCTACACAACATAATCTATATACAGGCAAGTCATTTTCCTGGCTCCCTCTGATTGGATATTATGTAGAGCCTTGACACTTCTCTCTGATTGGGTATTGGGTGGAACCCGAGCTTGGCTCATTGGCTCATTGGCTCATTGGCTCCCCTGTGCTTCGTGCCATAGAGGAGAAGACATTAATGCTGTCCAAATGTAAATGGGCTTTTCAGGGATATATTTCCCATTCTATTGCATGGGTGGGTTAGCATTCAAGGCTTTCGAGACTCACATACCCCCACTATAGCAAACGATGGCAGAGTTTCTAGGAAATGCATGTAGGCATTGATTGGGACCCCGAAATAGACACAGCCTCTCTCCCCATCCCTTCCCAGTCCATCAGTGTCCAAGACTGTTTCTGTCTGTCCACAAAGGAATGGAGGAACCAACCCAGGCGTCATCCTCTCTTCCTGCATGCCCATTTTCATAGAGCTCAGTTCAAGTCTGTGGCTTTACGGGAAAGCTGGAGAGAGAGAGAGAGAGAGAGAGAGAGAGAGCGAGAGAGAGAGAGAGAGAGAGATTATCCAAACAAGTAAATTCCAATGTTATTATTCCTTTCCATTTCATAAATATTGATCTAGTGTAAGTGTTTTCTCCCGCTCCTAAGATTAGTCCTGCAAACCATAGTAACATAATGCAATCCACAGTGGAAGATCAGATAATGGTCTGTAATTGTGTTTAATCTCTAATCTGTGTATGAGGTGCTATCTTAAATCGCGACAGAAGCCAGCCGAATCGTCAGTCAGGAAGGAAATGAAGCTTGATACTGCTGCTGATGCGCCTGTCCTACTTTTCTGTTCCAAATCGGTTCATTATAACAGAATAATAATGTGTTACAAATCAAATCAAATCAAATCAAATTTTATTGGCCACATGCGCTGAATACAACAGGTGCAGACATTACAGTGAAATGCTTACTTACAGGCCTTAACCAACAGTGCATTTATTTGTAATAAAAAAGTAAAATAAAACAACAACAAAAAAGTGTTGAGAAAAATTTATGAAACACATGAAAGCCATCCATGTCCATATTTGCTCAAAGGTGTAAATGCATTCTGAATAGAATGTAAATATGAACAAATACTGCACAGTGTAGACACCACATAAGGAGAAATATAGAATACTGTATCAGACCACTGCTCTCTTAGCTGAATAGGTAAATATTGTAACTGTATGTACATTACCTCTTCACTCCAACTGCTTTGAGAGCATTGGAATAAGCCAATCAATGAGAATCAAATAATGTTCAGCATACAATCAATTCATTAGAACATTCAAAAACCACTGATGGCGTCCACGATGACATGCTTTTTGTACTATTCCAAGTGCTTTGACCTTGTATCCATAGCCCTCAGTCACTAACCCCTGCCTTTCTATAGCCCTCAGTCACTAACCCCTGCCTTTCTATAGCCCTCAGTCACTAACCCCTGCCTTTCTATGGCCCTCAGTCACTAACCCCTGCCTTTCTATAGCCCTCAGTCACTAACCCCTGCCATTCTATAGCCCTGTCACTAACCCCTGACATTCTATAGCCCTCAGTCACTAACCCCTGCCTTTCTATAGCCCTCAGTCAATAACCCCTGCCATTCTATAGCCCTGTCACTAACCCCTGCCTTTCTATAGCCCTCAGTCACTAACCCCTGCCTTTCTATAGCCCTGTCACTAACCCCTGCCATTCTATAGCCCTGTCACTAACCCCTGACATTCTATAGCCCTCAGTCACTTACCCCTGCCATTCTATAGCCCTGTCACTAACCCCTGCCTTTCTATAGCCCTCAGTCAATAACCCCTGCCATTCTATAGCCCTCAGTCAATAACCCCTGCCATTCTATAGCCCTGTCACTAACCCCTGCCTTTCTATAGACCTGTCACTAACCCCTGCCATTCTATAGCCCTGTCACTAACCCCTGCCTTTCTATAGCCCTCAGTCACTAACCCCTGCCTTTCTATAGCCCTGTCACTAACCCCTGCCTTTCTATAGCCCTGTCACTAACCCCTGCCTTTCTATAGTCCTCAGTCACTAACCCCTGCCTTTCTATAGTCCTCAGTCACTTACCCCTGCCTTTATATAGCCCTCAGCCACTAACCCCTGCCTTTCTATAGCCCTGTCACTAACCCCTGCCTTCCTATAGCCCTCAGTCACTAACCCCTGCCTTTCTATAGCCCTCAGTCACTAACCCCTGCCTTTCTATAGCCCTGTCACTAACCCCTGCCTTTCTATAGCCCTGTCACTAACCCCTGCCTTGCTATAGCCCTGTCACTAACCCCTGCCTTTCTATAGCCCTCAGTCACTAACCCCTGCCATTCTATAGCCCTGTCACTAACCCCTGCCTTTCTATAGTCCTCAGTCACTAACCCCTGCCTTTCTATAGTCCTCAGTCACTTACCCCTGCCTTTATATAGCCCTCAGCCACTAACCCCTGCCTTTCTATAGCCCTGTCACTAACCCCTGCCTTTCTATAGTCCTCAGTCCCTTACACCTGCCTTTCTATATAGTGCTCAGTCACTAACCCCTGCCTTTCTATAGTCCTCAGTCACTTACCCCTGCCTTTATATAGCCCTCAGCCACTAACCCCTGCCTTTCTATAGCCCTGTCACTAACCCCTGCCTTTCTATAGCCCTCAGTCACTAATCCCTGCCTTTCTATAGCCCTCAGTCACTTACCCCTGCCTTTATATAGCCCTCAGCCACTAACCCCTGCCTTTCTATAGCCCTGTCACTAACCCCTGCCTTTCTATAGCCCTGTCACTAACCCCTGCCTTTCTATATAGTCCTAAACCTCATCAGTCCGTTTTTGTTTTAGCCTAACCTGTTTAGTCTGTCTGTGCTATTACACATTGGTAAAGGTCAAACCAAATCAGGCACTGATCTGGTTCATCTTCCCCCACCCCTACCACCTCCTACAACCTCTCCCTATGTGACAGACATTACCAACTTAAATATGTAG